ACATATTAGGACATAAACAAAACAAGTTGAAATAAAACAAAATACGATGAATACCATTCTACAAAAAAAGTGACGTAACAGAGACTTGAAAACACATTAAACAATATACAAAAGGGACGGTGGTGGTAATGTGATTATAAAATTCCTTCTCTATAAATGTTACATATAATATAGAAGGTAACGTAACATTTTTGAGCTGGCTTGTTCTACATTGAATTAGGAATAGATATAAAACAGCTACGTTTTTACCTTCCGGTAATCTCGTACTTGTTCAACACATATATAAAATTTTCTATCATGTATAGGACAATAATTCATATTAGCTATATGTTAAAGTGTGCGGGTGTCACAGCAGCAGGTTTCAATGGTTATAACAGTAAATTTCAGAACTTGATAACCATGGTGGTCACAGTACAGATAGCCCATATGCAACTTTGTGCTTAAGTAAACACTGTATATTAATATTTCTTTCAAGTTAAACTACAAAACTACAATATATATATGTGTTTTTTTTTTTCGTTTTGAGATGTATATCTGTAGCTACACTAGCCTTACTGAAAGATGCGTTTCAATACTGAACGTAACACAGTTCAACACATGTATTCTGTTTGAGGCCAAAATGTTATCTGTATCAAGATAATAATATGGTCAATAAAACCCAGGTGCGAGCAGCCTGTTCTCCAAAATTAAGGAAAGCCGTTCCTATTGTGTGCACAAGGTATCAATCAGGAGAAAAAAATATCAACAAATTATCCGCACAGATACACTGTTGTCGTTTAAAAACATGTTGTGGCTGGGCGTGGCCTATTGGTTAATGTGCCTGTGAAATAAATCAGTTGTTAAAATGAAAATATGGTGTGGCTAAAGTTAAACATTTCGAGAGGTAACGTTTTTTCGATTATAATTAAATTAAGAAAGCCACATTTTTATTGCCACGTTTCTCTGATGCTGTTTGAACTGCTGGTTCTAACAAAATAGAATCATCATTCAGCAGGGTCTCGTGAAGTCAAACTTTCGGTCCGTAACCTGGTTAAATTGATCACACACTACGTTAATAGGCTACACGTTTTTTTTTGCTTGAACTTAAAACGTGTATTGATTACGCGAGTTTATGTTGATAATTTAGAGGGACCTTATTTAGTCATTATTACCTTTATTGCTATGTAAGCAGAGGATGAAAAAATTATTAATAAATCAGCGTTGGATATTAACTACAAGACGTTATAAGTTGACTGAGTACATTGGTATTACAATAGCTTCTTATTTCACAGCTTATGAGATCCTTCTTGTACAAACATCGGCAACCTTCTGAAGCATCAGCTAATTTAAACATTTCTGTATTTCAATAAAGATGGTTTTCTTTTGGTCATGATAGCTTTACATGTAAGACAGTTCGTATTCATCAGTATCACCAAATGAAGACCAGACTCAATGTTTAAAGACTTGTACCTGTGTTGGCATGACAATTCTTCTAATGAGTCAGAGACATTTAATCTGGAAAGTTTCAAGTTTGTTGGTAATTGATAAAGTAATATTCTGAGTCACACAGAAATACATTAAGTATGTTATTTTTCAGAATTCCAGGTTTCGCTTACAGTCAAATTTTCTTTGATTTCCAGACCGTTTGCATCATCGTGAAGGTATGATTGGCTTTGATAACCCTGGTATTTACCTCTTTCTCAAATTTTTTATCTGTTTTTACCTTACTGCCGAGGTTTGTGAATTCATCAATTTTTTCATCATCCTGGTTGTCTCTGGTGACTGGGTGGTGTTTTTCCTCATACATTTGGTCTTGCTGGTGTAGACTTTTAGGCCTATCTGCTTCACTGTGTTTGATAAGTTTTCAGTTTTATCTTGAATGCCAACATGTCGACGTGCAAGGAGACTGACGTCATCTATGTAGTCTAGATCTTCAAGTATCAA